TCCTCAAAGGACCAGTTGTCCTGTTCCCTGAATGACTTGCTCTGTCACTCTAGCTGTGTAAATGGCTGTTTCGGGGTAAAAAATAGGGATAAGCGATCACTTCCAAGGAGAATACAAGTCGTAATAGCTACGTAAGCTAGCTGAGGTAAGGTTAGATCAGAGCACCACCTTGGTCATCCTTTTCTAGAAGATATGGATTCTGCATGTCTCCAGCTCCAGGCTGATCACTTCCCAGGGGCTTTGCTCTTGTGCCAGACTTAAGAAGAATGTATCTTTCATATACTTCTTATTGGAAGATGCACAGTATCTCATATATTTGTTTCTCACGATCCAATTTAAATATGAATGGAAAGGAAAAGCAGCTACAGTTAGTTCTCAAGGCAAAGGAGAGCTTATTTTGACACAGATATTGTAGCAAGAAGCACAGCTGTAATATTTCCACCTATCTTAGACCAATCCAATTGCCTTACTACACCATCAGTCTAAGCTGCTTGCTTGCAAATTCATTAAATAATCAGGGTTTGAGGAACAATCAAATGCTTAAACACAGGCTGCTTAGCCATGGACAACTTCAATGCTGGCAGGAAGAAGTACGGGGTTCAGTCCCCATGTGTTGCCTGATCTAGTCAAGAGGTGGTGTCCCTGGTGGCAGGGAGGCTGGATTAAAATGATCTCTGAGGTCCCTTCCAGCCTAGGCCATTCTATGATTCTATGAAAAGCAGGTCAACTCGGAAGAAACAGAGGAACCTCAGCTGCTGCCTGGAAGCGTAGCTGAGAGAAGTCAGGATACATGTGGGGAGAACAGAGAGGAGGAGAATAATTAAGGTAAGTGGAAAAGGAAGAGTGAGCTAAGAGAAGGAGAAAATTAAAAATTGTATCTGTGTAATGGCTCCTCACTGGCTGGAGAAGAACACCGGTGAGAAGCACAGCACTAAGCTCTGGTTTGTCTGTAACAGCAGCCAACCAGGCTAGCTGCCAGCCTTGGACAGAACTGTGCTCAGGTCTGTGTGTTTCCCCTCCATGTCCCTGACAGTGAAACAGGCCCACACGAGCATCATCCCACAAGGTTGTGCCCAAAAGGACAAGCGAGGAGCTCACAGTCAAAGGGAAGACCTGAACATCAGTGGGAACTTACAGGCACGCCAGGATGGAAATAGTTACGATAGTCCTCAGGGACTTTGTGGGATGGATACAATTTATACAGATGTCCTTTCTTTTAACACCCATCAGGCCTCATCTCCCCTGTTAAATATCCAGCAGAGAATATATAAACATCAGAGTTCTGGTCACAAAAGCCAAGCAAAATTAAAGTATGTATAAAAAGGAATTCATCCAACTCCTAAACACTGTACAGAAACTACAGTGAGTCCTTCCTAAAATGAGGAGGCTGCAGATCAGTCAGATGACTTATACTTACCCTCGGTCAAGGTTTTCTTCAGAGAGAGTGTAAATCTGTGTGGATTTCATTCAAGCATGCAGCTCTAAAAACAACAAATAACCAAGATAATAGGAAAAGCAAGAATTTGCTAATGAAAGGTCAATTACAAGAAGACTACAGGTTTAGTTATCCAAACAGCATGCTTTTTAAAAAACCCCATTCTCTCCACTGGGTTTTCAACCTAAATCTGGAAATGAACACAGGCATTCATAGTGCCTTCTCCTTCAGAGGAGCAACAAAGCAAGCAGAAACTGGGAAGGAAAGGTCATATATTTCGTGCATGCCTGTGAAATGACGCTGTTTGTACGATGACGGCAACAGATCTGTCTAGTTTTCCTTCTTAAAAAGTATTTGCTCAAGTGGGTGTCAGAAGCTTTGCAAGACAACATTGTTTTGAAAAACATGGAAAGGACATCCGTATGGATACACAAGGGTATAGAACGACGTAAGTACAAAGCAGACCCCTAACCGATCAAGGTTCAAGAAAAACTAGCAAAACGGCACGCACATCTTTCCACAGGCTTCACTAATTTGGCTTATCTCTTCATTCAGGACTGCCTTCCAATGCACGCTGTTTCATGATTTGCACCCACAAACCTCATTCTACCCAAATGAGATCCTTCTCACACTCCAGCTTCACGTGCCACTTCTTTCACTTGTTTGTCTAATGTAGGAGCCTGGTAGGAACTCACCTACAGGCTTTGCTTATCTGGAGTCACACAAACCATGCCTTTCACCAAAACCATGTAAAACTTAGCAGTTTTATTAAAATGCTCATACACAGAGCAGATTAAGACATCCCCAGAGGCTCCCTGAACACGTGCTGTCAATGAGCAGAGCTCCAGCCAAAAGCACCACTGGAGGCTCAAAGCACACCACAGAAGGCCATATCCATGAGTCTAAGGGTAACACTGCTTAAACTCATGTACAGGTAGATGATTTTCTGTTGTACTGTGTAGCTCATGAGCCAGGTGCGGTCTTTGCCGCGCTTCATAAAAATGGGCTATGGGCAAGGTGTCTAGGGGCTACGCTAAGGTCGTTTGTCAAACCCTGACCTTGCCTCCAGGAATCAAACTCCATTCATCTAGTGTGAAAGCTCTTCAGATCTGTCCTTAGGATGAACTGCATGATACAAATCTCTTCCCCTTTTCTCCACTCAGAAAAGAAACCTGCAGTTCTTGCAGGAAACATACTCCTGCCCACAACTTACGTACACAATTTCCTGGTTTTGCCCTGAATTTATCAAAATAGGAAATTGTTGTTTTAAGTTACAAGAGCAAAAAGATACTTCACTTTGGTCTCATTACATAAGTTTTGTATAATAAACTATTTATTTGGATAATAGAGTTTTCACTCCTAAATTTTTCCAGCCTGAAAATGCAGCTTTATAAGCTATTATACCTTTTCCTCCAAAAAAGAAGAGATGTACCATAAATATTTTCTCCTCTTAACTGCTCTTTGCTATTTTTTTCAGCCATAAAGCAGCCTAAATACCTGCCATACTTTCTGGTGCTCAAAAATACTATGCCCTGCACCCCAGAAGAAATGAGAGATACTTCAGCAAGTCCTTCCTAAAATGAGAAAAGACACATATGCACAGCACAAATGTTTTCTTCAAACCTCTCAGAATTGCACTTATTTACAGATTATTAACTCAATAGTTGGCAAAAGTCAGTGTGTAATCATATACCTACATGCTATCAACAAGAAAAAAAATATCTGTTTATATTCAAATTACAGGGTTTTTTTCCTGTTATTTATAAGAAATAAAATCAAATGACATTTTGAACACATAAGAAAGGAAAGAATATCTCACATTTACCATCTGTTACGCTTTTAATAGTCCATTGTTTAGTAATGATGGCAATAGATAAGCTGCTGCTTAGCCAAAAAAATCAAACCCAAGCCTCATTATAAATCAAAGCATAATGCCTTTTTGGAGATTTAAGGCTCATGGGATAACTTGCAATAAAATCTGCTCTCATTTATTGATTTTATCTGCTCTCATTTATTAATTTTGTACCTGCAATAGAGAACATGTAGGTGTACGATCACTTGTATCACAGACAGAACAAAGCTGTACTTGCATATTTTTAACTGTAAACTCAGTTTCTTTTCCGAGAAAGAATAACCGGATCTTAATGAAAATAGCTCAGCACTGAAGAGGAAGCACTTCATAGGCATTACTCATGTTTCCAAAGAACAAATCTCTTCAATTCTGTGGGCTGTTAGGAAAACAAAAAAGTGAATCTAGAAATGGCCGGATTCCTGAGAAACAGAACAGGAGAGATTACTAACACTCTGCCACCCAGCTGCCTTTCACAGCGTAATCCACGTTCTTCAACTGTTAGAAAGATGCTTCCCTCCTTTTCCTGTAATCAAGAATTTCTTTTAAAAACCAACATAACGATGCAAACAAGCCAGCTTTCATTTTCCTTGCAGCGACTGACAAAGTGAAACATCCACCAAAGCTGTGGCTTTTAGGCTTTCCTAGCAGAAACAGTCATTCCCATTTCCAGATGAAGCAATGGTAGTTTCCCAACTTGAGCAGCAGTGTCAGGCTTTGACAGTTATTGCTACAGAGGCTGGATTAGTCACGTAGACTGAGCCAAAACTGCATGAGTGCAGTAGGACTCCTACCAAGGCCTCTCAGAAAAGTCAATTAACTCCTTCGGGATGGTGGTTACTGCTCCTGAGCTGCCTGCACTTTGGCTGCTACCACAACCGCTTCACAGCTCTGAGGCTTTGGAGGCAGCGATGCTCGGGCACTCTGCACCATTAATCCACAGCACAGAACCAGTGCTGCTCTTTTTTTCACAACCAGAGAGCTTTTCAGTTTAGCATTTGGGGATGCATCTTTTCCTCTCTGGATTCTCAATGAAGCAACAATAAACAGACATGCCAGGACCTTGCTGCTCTCTGGACAATAAACATGAAATCTCATATGTAACAAGCCTATTACTGTTTCAATAACAACTAGCAGCGGACACTTCCTCCCTGGGGCACAGCAGCTAAAGCTCTTGGAGCTCTCTTGCTTCAGCTAGTCATCAGCACCAAAATTTATACGGCTACACAGTATGTGAACTTTAGAGGGGGGTAAAAGCTATCATGAGTACTGCGTTCAGAAGTGAGGAATAAAAAAAACCCATGAAGGAGTCCTGGATGTCTTGTGCAGCTGTCAAATTCATTTTGCAGATACAGATTTGAAATTTAAGATCCCGCTCCTAATGGGATTCACATCCTCCATGCTAAACCACAGAGCCACGTGGCAGTGCTCATCATTGATGAACTTGCCTTGATAAACAGGTCACAAACGTGGATCAGGATATGTAGGAGTACATCCAACCTTTACAGCACAAGGCTGCCTTCTTGCAGTGTGATCTGGTTATATACTTAAATTTATTTTTTTTAATAGTTTGGGCATTTCCCTATAGAAATACTGTGAAATTGTTAAGTGCTATAGCAATAAATACCCTTTCAGTGGTAAAAGTGCAACTATTACAGACTCCTACTGTTAAGGGTCATGAAATAACTTTTGGTTGTTTTTTCTTTCTCCTCCAAGCTATCCCATTTGGCAAAGTCCCCGTTCTGGAAGTAGATGGAGTTACCATCCACCAGAGTCTGGCAATAGCAAGATACCTTGCTAGAGAATCAGGTAACATATTTGACTATTGTTTTTTGCTCTGTTCTGCATCCACCTTTAATGCTAAGGAAAAAAACAAACAAACATCCAAAGCAAAACCAGAAACAAACCAAAAGCCTGGCAAGCCAAACTAAGCAGAAATCAACAGCAGCATGGCAATATTGCTACTAAGGCTTTTCACAGGCACCGAATATCTAATAGTTATCAGCTTCTTGTTGCATTTGTAGTTTGTCCACCAGCACCAAGTGCTGACCACAGAAACACAGGACATTGTTAGAGGTGCCACTCCAAGATTGACAGGCTAAAACACACCAAGGAGAGCTGCATGGTGTCATGCTTGTGTTCAGCAGTGTTCCCTACCATAATTAGGTGCCGATTTTGCTTGCCGGGTTGGGGCTGCTGTGGCAATCCTGATCAGATCTCACACTACAACCCCTGCAGCTCCAAGACCAGAAAGAAGAAATTGAGCAAGGCACATCACTAGGATGCTGTACAACAGGGATCAGAGTTACTCAAATGTCACATAGAAAATAAGAAGTAGTAAAAAAAAAAAAAACCCAGCAGGTTAAAAGTAACAATTTGTAGTGTGAAACACTAGGATGTTCAGAGCTCAAGTCATGTGGCTGAGCTCCGTATTTGCACTGTAAGAGTGTACGCTTAAACGAAAACTTGGAAATAATCCACCCTTATGCCTGATGGAGTTTCCCCTCTGCACACAATACCTGGGGTTTGGGCTGACTTCTCAAGCCAATAAACTTTACATTCACCTGTCACTGCAGGACAGCAAGTGTGAACCTGTGCCTTCCCTGATGCTCTCCAGGCAGTTTGCCCTGGAGCCAAACTCTGAGCTGCCAGGCTAACAAGAGAGATGACCGGGGAGGAGGTTTTGGAAGCATTAGAGGTTATTACAGTCAGTGGGCAGAGTACTCCAGATTTAGGCAACAACTCTGAGCTGGCAGAGAGATTAGATCAGATGGTGACATCACTTGCATCTCTTAAGTACTTGCATGCCATGGAAGTACGCGACCATTAGACAAAGTGATACGAGACTTAGTAATGCAAGTAATCAAAGAGAGTAATCAGGGCTTGCTTCAGGTCAGCAAGCTGTCATTCAAAACAATCTGCAAAACTGGTCTGGCCGAAGGCAGATGTGCATGGCGTGCAGAACATCAGCAAATTGAAGAGGGGGGCTGGGAAGTAAGTACTGTCCTACTTTACACTCTAAACAAAGAGATACGCCTTTCAAAATATCTCACATTTTCCAAGTGAGGAAACAAGCAGAAGTGCAGAGTATTATTCTTCAAGGCTCTAGCATAACGTATTTTTCAGCATGTCTGCCATGTATTTCTGCCAACTTTCTCCATTCTTGCTACAACCTACTACTACTTGCAATAGAAGAAAATGATGAGTGTCCACCTGGTAATGAGAAACGATGAGAAAGCCTGCCTTCCACCCACACTGCCTCCCTCCCTCCCTCCCTCCTATCAGGAGGCTGATCTGGACCTGTGTTACCTTCACAGGCTAAAGTTCTGACTTGGGCATTTTCTCAACACCTCTTCCATCAGCCTGCAAACAACCACAAAGGTTAGGGTTCTGGAGCCCATTCAGACCATCCTCTTCTCCTTTCAGTGTTAATCACACTGTCAGCTACAGCAAGAAAAAGCATGCATGGAAAGGGAAAAGAATCAACCACTTTTCAATTTCATCGTCAAAACTTGCTATCTCTGCCATTAATTCTGCATACATGTCACTAAGCCTTTAAAACAAAGAAATGTCATTTTTAGGTGCCCATAATCAACAACTCGTTACTGAAGGACCACAGAACTTGTTGCCCAGAAAGGAGAGGCACAGTCCTCACCTTCAAAAGCATAGTTTCAGTAAGGAAGATAACACGGCAGAGGAAAAACAAGATGATCTGAACCTGCACAGAGGTGAAAACATGAATGTAGGGTCTGCAAAATGAGAGTGAGGGAAAAAAGTAGTAGCATTAAGAAGACTGTGGGCAAGCCAGAGGACAACAGGGGAGGAAAGCAGATTTGTGAACAAAACAAAGTTCATCTGAGATGCCTGATGACAATGAAGTAATTAAAAGCAAGCTGAATGTCACAAGAAGGTTCTAAAAGAGGGTGAATGGGCAGGATCGAGGGAAGCAGACTTTCACAGAAGCACTTCTGCAGATTGTGTTGACCAAGATGAAAAAAACACGAGATGGAGAAGGATGTTGAAAGTTGGGAGAGGGAAAATAAACAGCAAGGACTTAGTTCTGACCTTCACTAAATGGGATGGTTGAAGGCAGAGAGAAGGATAAAAGTAGTCAGGCTGCAGGCTTAGGTGAAAAAGGAGCATATATTTTACCAAAATGTCTGCAGAGTTTACCTTTGGGGTATCAAAAAT